CCCCCCCCCCCCCGACAAGAACAAACTTTGGTAAAATTTCATGTTCAATTTTAGGACAACAATTTTATTTTGAGTACCTATTTGGTAGCACTCTTTTTATGTACATCAGCTTAGTCATTTTTCCTTCGAAATTCCCAATACGGGTACTCAAAATAAAATCGTTGAAATGAAGTCTAAATTGCTCGAACAAGAAAATTAATGTCTAAATTGCTTAAATGTTTGAAATGAAGAAACATTACTTTTTTTCCATCTTTATATATGTCTGTTAATTCCGTTTTTTAATACTACTGATTTTGTTACAATGTAGCATTTGTACATTTTTTAAAACATATTTTCTCAACTTACTGAAGCACGACTGGTCTGAACTCGTGACCTCTCATCTAGGAGAAGTGCTACTCGACCACAAGGTATTTGGTCATCTTAATTCCGTTAGTTATAGCGGACATTATGTACATATTTTTAGATAATTCAGTCATCTTAATCATATCTTTTTAGCATGAAAGCATTTCATCCAAATTTCACCTTGAACATCTTAGTGTCCGATTTGCATTAACATCAAACAAAAATTGCATCGCATATTAATCTAATGAAATTAGTTTTTCAAAAGCTTTTTTGCAAGATATATTTAAGGAAATCATATTGGTATTCATATTCAATGTAATTTTTATTAATGTAATGATCAATATTTATCCAATTTAATTGAAAAAGTCAAATTGGATAAATAATTTAGTCTTGGGGAAAAATATCACACAATTGTGTGTTGCAATAACAATAATAAATACTAGTATTTGAATTCCTCATTTATTTCTGATTCTGTTTCCGATAATTACTTGATGCAAAAAACACTAGCCGTTGTGGGACACTCAACGGTCAATTCCACATTCATCCATTCCTAATAAAAAGCTTCAAAATTCTTCCACATAAATTTCATCTGCAATTCTTTCTTTCCATCTCCAACAATTCATATTTAAATCTTCACATATTCAAAGTTGAAAGCTCCATCAATGGCTTCTTCCAACCTCCGGCCGCGATCGTGTTCCTTCGCGATCCTCCTCATCTCCTTCCTGAATCTCATCCTCTTCATCCTCTCCGCGGCCTCCATAGCTCCGATCTTCCTCATAAAAAACCCGCCAACTTCATCCCTAGCCTACGCATTCCTCGTCGTCTCTTCCATCTCTCTGCTCTCCTCGCTCGTGGGCTTTTGCTCCCAATTTTGCCCCCGGGCCCACACCCCCCTCATCCTCGCCTCGTCCCTGGGCCAGCTCCTCGCCGTGCTCACTCTGTTGGCCGGCGAGGGCCCGGCCCTCGGGATGCTGAAATCCCCGAGGGACCCACGGGAGGCGAAGGTGCTGGTGAGGTTGGAATGTGGGGTGATGGTGACCATGTTCGCGGCGGAGGTGGCGGTGTTGGTGTTGAGCTGTGCCGTGGAGAGGTGTTGCGTGGCGCGAGAGTGCGATGAGGGCGGGGCGGAGGCGGCGGCCAAGGACGATTGGGGCACGAAGAGGAGCCAATGGATGGCTAAGGTTCAAGACGAGGAAGAGATGAAGAGGATACCTGCAATGAGGGATGTTGTTTGAGTGGAGATAAGACTTCACACAATATGAACAGTCTGATTTTGTTATCAAAGTGGATTAATTAGTGTGGTACTAATCATGTTTTTTTAATCCTTCACAACCATTTGATTGTCATGAATGGCTCATTAGATTGATTTTTTTTAAAAGGAGAAAATGGCTCATTTGATTGTCATACTCGGTTAGACCTACCCGGTTAAATTTACACAATCACGTTGGATTAATTTTGGTCCCGCGTATGGCGCTAAAATGATGGTGTAAATTATCTCGACCGAAATATCGTTCTTAGTCGGGCAAAAACGATAAACTAGTCTAAAAAAATACACCAAAAAAAAAATACAAGAATTTTGACGTGGAAACTCAATCGAGAGAAAATTATGGGCCTTTTTTAGCGGTACCTTACCAACAATGGATTTTTTATTAATATCGGGGTTGTACACGGTACATAATTTGGTCTTAGAAGTCATTAATAGAGAAGCTACGAAGCTCCAAGCTTTAAGAATTGGAAAATACAATGAATAATCTAATGTGGGGGAGAAGGAGCATCTTTGGGGAATATTCTATTACTCCTTTATTTTACTAAACATGTCTAGTTTGATTGTTCTTCATAAATAATTAGAAAATATGGACCGATCCACGTTTTATTTCCCTTCAGGTGTAATTTATACTTTTTATTTCTATGCTAATTTATAATTAAAATAATTTTAAAAATGATGAGATTTCGCACGTTGTTCGGAGTATGTCATCCAATATGGGACAGAGGGAGTAATAAAAAACATCTCATAATATCAAAATATACTTTTAACTAACCATCACTCAAATTAGAAAAACCCAAACTAGATTAGTCTTAGTTAATTAACTGTGATTAATCTAGATTAGTCAAATTAAAAAATTAATGTGACACCCAAATTAACTGAGACTAATCTAGTTTATTTTTTTAAAAAAAATTGAGTGATGGTTAGTTAGAAGTATATTTTGATACTATGAGATGCTTTTTAATACTTGCTCAGCCTACACAAGAATATCACCGAGAAATTTTAATTCAAGCATATTTTCCTAAATACTATTCATATGATCAAATTTTACTCATTTTGTTTGCTCATTTTTACTAGTCATTTTGTAAAATAATATAGTCTTGTTACCTCAAGTTTTGTAGAATTTTTCATGTAATTTATTACTATATAAATTTTATTTTAAAATTTTACTCATATAATCAATTAAATTGAATTGAAAATAAAATCGATCAAGCCTCGTAACGCGTAATGAGAAGATCTTAGGTGAACGGAGGGAATATTCTTTTTGTGATTCTCAATATATTTAGGCCCTTAAAATCCAAGCGAACCTTCCCTTCTCGACCCTACGCACTCGGGCGAAGTCCGAAATTTCAGAGGAAGCAACTTGGAAGTGACGCCACATTCCCAAGCCAACCACCACTTTTTGACCCAACCAAGCTTATATTTATTTTTTTTATAAAGTTAAATTACATCTTTTAAAAACATTTCTTTGCTTGATAAAATAAAAAAGCTATGTATCTACATGTTTTTTAGGTTTTTTTAAGAGTAAATTCCCAAAATAGTCCTTTGTAATAAGGAGATTTTCCAAATTAGTCCTCAATAAGTTTTAATTACCTACGTGGTCCTCTATAATTGAGATTTATTCCCAAAATAGTCCTTTGTAATAAGGCATTTTCCCAAATCAGTCCTCAATAAGTTTTAATTATTTACGTGGTCCTTTGTAATTGAGATTTATTCCCAAAATGGTCCTTTGTAAATAATATTACTCAAATGAGGATTAATTGAGGGTATTTTTTATCCGCTAAATTTAGAATTCAATTCTTAAAATAATCATTTATAATGAAGTGCTTCCCCAAAATGGTTTTTCTAATTAAAGATGTGTACTTGATTTGAAATTTAAAAGATTTTTTTAAGTTTTAAATAATTCATAAAGTATTTATAGTCAATGTATTTTTTAAATTTTATATTTAGTTGTACAGAAATGATTGTTTCGAGAATATACTTTAAATTTGGATGATCAAAATACCAAAATATCTCCCAATTAATCCTCATCTGAGGACTGATTTGGAAAAACACCTTATTACATAGAGATAAACCAAATACATTTATGAAACTTAAAAAAATTTAAATTTCAAATCAAATACAGATCTTTAATTAGATTTTGGGGAAGCACTTCATTATAAATAATTATTTTAAAAATTGATTCTAAATTTAGCAGAGAAAAAATACTCATAATTAATCCTCATTTGAGTAACATTATTTACGAAGGACCATCTTGAGAATAATTCTCAATTATAGAGGACCATATATGTAATTAAAACTTATTGAGGACTGATTAGGGAAAACACTTTATTACAAAGGAATGGAAGCATGTTGCACCATAACCTTCTCCACCTCTATATAATTTTAAAGCTTCCACCACGGTTAAATGATTGATATTATAATATTGAACCGATATTATATTAATGAGGATGTGATCCACTCAAAATGAAAATTAAGAAATTATAGTTGGATAATTAATAAGACTAAAACAAAGTCTATTCAGGAACTTCTCCACATGTGATATTGGCTATTTTACATCAATAAGATAAGAATAATTTGAACATATATTACATTAGAATTGAATCAATAATAATAATAATAAATCTATTTACACATAAAATCTACCATGCAAATACTCTACCAAAACAAGAAAAGCCCGTTCATGCAATCACGCGTTCGTAGTGGAAAATTCAAATCGTCCAAAAAAAAAAGAAAAAAAAACAATTTCATGTATATGAAAAGTAAGTATATATTCTCTCGTCCCAAAAAATCCTTTACGTTTCAAAAAAATGTTGTCCCACAATCTCTTTCTTATTTCTATTAAAAATTCGCTTTACCCTATACTTTTTCATAGTCTACCTACCACATCATACATTTTTCTATTAATCTACACATCACATTCTATTTTTACCCACCACATCAAGAGTATTTTTGAAAAGTCAACACAAAATTATCCCTCTCTTATTTTGTTATTTTCGTCAAATGTCTCTCTCTTTATGTGACGGAGGAAGGACAACATATCCTACTCCTGTATATAAACCGCGTGTAGATCCATGTTTCCCAATTTCATTAGCCTCCCCGGCCGCCTTGAGTAATTATTACTCCGTATTACCTTAATTAAGGCGCCGGAAAACATGCCGGAATCCACCTCTGTGCAGCCGGAAGACCCGTCCGTTTTGGTAGCGGGCTTCAACATCCACGCGTTCACGCTCCAGGAGCTCCGCGTGATCACTCAAAACTTCTCCAGTGCCAATCTCATTGGCGAAGGGGAATCCAGTACGGTCTACAAGGGGTTGATCGATGATCGGCTCAGACCCGGTTTGAAAGCTCAACCGGTCGCCGTTAAGCTTCTGGATCGCTCCGGAAGTCCTCATCAACGGCTGGTGAGGATATTTATTTAATTAATTAATTAGCCATTTTTAAAATTTAAAAGAAAAAAGCTGGTCTCTATTATGTTTCCCTTCTATTCTTTTGGGTCGGGACGGGGTGGAGGTTTATAGGCGGTGCAATTAAAGGGGTGGGGGTGCGTTCAGGTGGGGTGGAGGTTTATCGGGGATTAGGAGGGGTAGGCATCATCAATTTTACGAACGGGGCACTGAAGTGTTCCTGGGTCTCGGGGTTCCAATGTCATAAGAATCCCACCTTAAATAATTAGACAATACTCCGTAACTAACAATGTTTTAACGTCTTTGTTTTTTTTTAAATAGACAGAAGGTATATTGCTTGGACAATTGAGACACCCACATCTTGTGAAGCTGATTGGGTATTGCTGTGAAGATGAGAAGCATAGGGCTTTAGTGTATGAGTACATGCCTCGGGGTACTTTGGACAATCACCTCTTCACAAGTAAGGCATCATCTATACGGCCCGGTTCCATGGCCACTGGAATCAAGTGGCCACGGAAGCCACTGCCCCCCTACGAAACTCCGTTCATAAAATTGATGATTCCTACCCCCCTAACCCCCCGCCAAGTCCCGACCCAAATTCATCACCCCACCTACGTCAATTGCACCTCGTAAGCATAAAGTTTTGATTTTATGCTTACGAGGTGCAATTGACGTAGGTGGGGTGATGAGTTTGGGTCGGGACTTGGCGGGGGGATTACCGGGGGGTTAGGGGGGGTAGGAATCATCAATTTTATGAACGGAGTTTCGTAGGGGGGCAGTGGCTTCCGTGGCCACTGGATTCCAGTGGCCATGGAACCGGGCCGTCATCTATAACCATGCATTAAATTCTATATATTCCTTCTGTTCCTGAGCATTTGTCTTTTTTTTTTACTTTTTCAGTTAAAATTAGCAAATTTTGGCCTCAAATTAAATAAAAATGATACCAGATATTGATACAATAATAATTTTATTAGATTTATTTTATAAAATGTTTTCAAAACATTATTTTTTCTAATTAATATCCAACGGATAATTTCTCTGTGTAATTACAAGGGGTTTCTCCTTTATTTTTAGGAGAGGATAATTCCAAAATAGACAAGGAATACAAGTCCTACAAGGAAACAAATCAATAATCAAACTAGGAAACAAATAACTCAAGATCAATCCTAATTAGAATAGGATTCAGTCATCTTCAGGATTCGGACATCTTCGGAATTCAGACCTCTCGGACATCTCCGGATCCGGACTTCTCGGCCAACACCTTCCTTTTACACCTCTCCGGATCCAGACCTCTCGGACTTCTACGGATCCGGACTTCTCGGCCAACTCCTTCCTTTTACACAACGTATATTTTATTTAATTATAAATCAAATATTAAAATAAGTTTATTAAAAAAATCAAAACTGGATAAATATCTCGAGACAGAGATAGTATATCCATAAATTTATGAAACATGTTTAAGGGATGATGGTAATCAAAAGAAAGACTCGATTCTACCGCATTACTTCAATTCCATGGAATAAATGTATCACACTCTTTGCCACCAATCATATCTGAAATTGATTTTGTCTGGCAATAAACATGTTATATTTATTTACATGGGTGAGCAGTTACATTAATATGATTTAAATTTTTTAACTTTCATTTTACCATTTGCACTAGTTATTTACTTATATTACTTACTCCCTACATCTCAAAATGAGTTATCATATCTAAACAAAATGCAAAATTTTATATCTTTTCAATTTATTTTATTTATAAATTGCTATAGAAGTAAACAATACAACTTTCATAAAAAAGTTTAGTTAAAGTTTATACAAACAAGAGCACTGTTAAAAAATATTTTTCATCCCATCTCAATATATCTAGTTGGCTAAAGATGTGCTTTAAATTGCATTTACCTTTACTCAAATGTTACCTAATTACATTCAATTTCTTTCAATTTCAACACATCTTTACCAAATTGTACATAAATTGGCAATGCAAAGTTTTGTATCCCAACTAAATATACTTTTCTTTCATATATTTTAATCCAAATTTGTAAAATATAACTAAAAAGCTAAAAATAAAAGTTACTTAGATTGGAAGGAGTATAATTAAAAAAATTATAAAATAATATGATGTGATTAATTGATGATAAATTGATAAATGTGATATGACAAAAAAAGTGAATGGATAATTAAATTTTAATTCGAAAATAACATATGTGTAAATATATCCAAAATTGAAATATACCCGAACCAAAATATATCCAGACCAAGATGTATCTAAACTGCAATATATTCGAACCTATTAATATATGAACCGTATTTGAACCGATTTGAAACTAAGCCGAAAAATATATGAAAGCGAATTAAATCTGAGCTAAAGTTAAACTAAACCGATCTGGATTGAACTGATTATAATATACTCCCTCCGTCCCTAAATAAACTTCCCCTTTCGTTTTTTCTTTGTCCCCAAATAAACTTCTCTTTTCCCTTAAAAACCCCTTTTACCCTTACTTTTTCATACCCTACATATCACATCATACTTTTTTACTAATAATCTACATATCACATCTTACTTTTACACATCACATCAAGGGTATTTTTGGAAAGTGAACACAAAAATATTCCTCCCTTAAATCTTCAAAAAGTAAAAAAGGAAAGTTTATTTAGGGACGGAGGGAGTATTCGAGCGATATCCAAAGTGAATTATTCAAAATTGAAATCAATCTCGTTGCTCCAATTACCACCTCTAATGGTGGCCGGCAAAGTGAGTTTGGATCGGGTCGCCATGGGANCATTAATTTACAGACGAAGTATGGTATGTGTTCTAATATGAGATGATGTCATCTATTGACATTTAAGGTCATCAAATGAATAATAATGGTCATATTAGGACACAACATTAACAATAATTTTTATACGTGATTGTCTCTAATTGTATTATCTTGTTATTTTTAGAATTAAAATAGCAAGTGATGCTTATACGATCTCAAAATTCGAATTTAAAATATAGATTTTCTCCTGTTTTTTATGGACTTATATGTGAATATTTTTTATAGATCTTGGGTCCACGGAAAAACTTGTTTAAAATAGCATCGGGCATAACATTATTACTCCGTATTTTTACTACAGAAATGGTCGAAAGAAATTAAAATTTACAAGAGTAATACTCAATGGATAGTGAATTAATATAGAATATACTCCAGAGTATTTGTCTAATTTTAATTTTTTATAGTCAACTAAAATTGACCTATGACTTATAATTAAATATAATTTACATGATATATTTAATGGATAAAACAACAATTTGAAACTAATTAAATTGGCACCGAAAAAAAATTAAAGAATCTTTTTAGAATACTCCAAACTTTATCTAGTCTTTAACAGAAATGGTCTAATTTTTATTGAAATTTTGGTTTTAAAATTTTGTATTTTGAAATTTTTAGTTAAATTTTTAAAAGGATTTTCTACCTCCATCATTGTTTTTTTAGTTTAATCTTACTTAATTTAATACTCCGTACTTCATATATTTTTTGAAATTTTATAATTAAAGATACTACCAAGAAGAGGGGATAGTAAAACAAAAATACAATGTCACATGCTGATAATGTGGAATATTTAAATCAATGAATAATTTTTCAGTGAGTGCAATATAAGTGAGTGAAGTTGCATGTCCTGCAATGACAAGTCATTGTTTTTGTGACATTTTATATTTTTTGATGTATTTTAATTATTAAAAATTATTTTAGTTTTTTTTTTAAAATAGATACTCAAATAAATACTTCAATCTTGTACCAAAAAAAACGAAAGAAAAAAAAAGAAGCCACCCCCATTCCTGCACGAGTTGGGCGAGGCAAGGAGAGTACTTGCCGCTACTAGTGCTCTAATGAATTTGACTTCAAGATACACATCAAATGTAATTTGTTTGAAAAAAAGTATACGGAGTACTCCGTAAGCGTGCATTAAGACAGTGTTCCGTTCAACTTATTTTTTCTCTTTATTACTTATTCTAATTAAAATCAAATCAGATCAAACCAGATCAGATCAGATCTAATCAAACCAGATCAGACAAAATAAGATCCAATAAAATCAGATCAGACCAGATCAGGTTCAATCAAATCAGATCTAAAAATTATTATTATTATTATTATTACGATTATTATTATTATTATTCATATTACTATTACTATTATTATGATTATAATTATTATTACTATTATTATTATTATAACTATTACTACTACTATTATTAATTTTAATATTATTATGATTATAATTATTATTACTATTGTTATTATAACTATTTCTATTACTATTATTGTTATTACATTATTATTATTATTATTTATATTATTATTTTATTACAATTCTTATTATTATGGTCATTATTATTACAATTATCATTACCATTGTTATTTTAACTGTTATTTTTATTATTACTATTACTATTATTATGATTATAATTATTATTACTATTTTTATTATAATTATTACTATTAGTATTAATATTATTGATACTATTATTGTTTTGATTATTATTATTTATATTATTATTATTGTTACTATTATTATTATTTCTATTATTATTACTAGTATTATTATTATAGTTATTATTATTATTACTATTCTTATTACTATTTTTCTTATTATTATTATTATTTGTATTATTATTATTACTATTATTATTATTTCTTTTATTATTATTACTATTATTATAACTATTATAATAATATTAATTTTAATTTTAATTAAATTTATATTAGATCAGATCCAATCAGATCAGATCGGATCAGACTAGATCAGATCAAAACTTCAAAAAATTAGATCAGATCAATTGAATGGAATGCAGCCTAACTCTCGACTGTCGACCCTTTACCCACCGTTATCACCCCTCGTTTTATTAAATGATTATTTATTATGATTTTTTTAATATATTAAAAATGAATTAAATATATATAGTTATAACATTTATCTTTATTCATCTAACTTTTAAGTAAGATTCCTTCTGTCTAAAATTAATTACTTGTTTACTATCCAAATGATCGAGTTTTATTTATTTTCTTTTTCCTAATATATATAGCGTAACTATTCTTTTGATAAATATATATAATCATGTCACACCTTGTTTCGTATTGATATAGGCTATTTAAATGTGAAGCTCATGTTTTGAATCCACTCAATTTTTCTAATAATGACATCGAAAATGACTTCGATCAAATATCATAAGTCGAAACACTTGATTTAAATTTGAACGCAGAGAGCAATAAATAATTTTTATTTTAACAATAAAAAAAGTCAAAAAAAAAAAATGTTGAACTTGATATGCGTGTTTGTGTGCAGGAAACTCGGATTCGCTTCCATGGTCAACAAGAATGAAAATTGCTCTTGGGGTAGCTAAAGGTCTGGCCTTCCTCCAGCAAACTGAGAAGCTCGTTGAATTTCACGACTTCAAGGGATCTAACATCTTGCTAGACTCTATAAGCACCATAAGCACCATAATCATCATCATCATTATTATAATTTAGAGCTGGCAAATCGGTCGGTCAGGTCGAGTTCGAGTTCGGTCACTTCAAGTTCGAGTTATTTTGGGTTCGGGTCAATTCAGGTTTGAGTTGAGAACTATATGTTCATGACCCAGTGTCATCGGGTTCGGGTCGACCCAACGGGTTATGACTTTAGTTTTTTAAATTTTTAAATTCACATTAACACTTACATTTTCTATTAAATAAATTTAAAATATCAAAAAAATGTATTATGATACGGGATTAATTATTATTATTATTATTATTATTACTATTATTAATGGTTAGTGGTTATTATTATTATATTAGGTAGTATTATTATTTATGGTTAGTTAATTATATTATTATTAGAAAGTAATATTTTATTAGGATATTTGTTACCATTTATAATTAGGATTCCTAGATTATTTAGTTTCCTTCTATGGTAAGGATTCTTTAGATGTCTTACCTATAAATGTATCCATTTCAATGAATTATTTATCAATGAATAAAGAAAATACTTTCTCCTAAACCTTAATCTCTCTCTTTCTCGCCTCTTTTATTCTTGGAGCTTGAAGGTGCTCGAAATCCTTCTCTATCCCGATACGATTCCATATCATATTAAATCTATAAAATTATTTTATTTTAAACTCTGAAGTAATTTTTAGATATATAAATCAATATAAGGAATTTTAAATATGCTTAAGTTTTGGAAAAAAGTAAGATAATTATGCAATATCATTAAAATTTTGTCTGAAAATATAAATTTATACACTAAAAACAAGTAGTAAAGTGTATAATTTTGAAAAATTCTTACTTTAGCGGGTCGGTCATGTCGGGTTCGGGTTCAGTCGGGTTCAACCCATTTTTAGCGGGTCATTTTGGGTTCGGTCATCAAAACCTTTATTCAAAACCAAGTGGTTTCAGGTCGGGTTTCGGGTCAAAAACAGGTCGGGTCATTTTTTACCAGGCTCTGAAAAATTAATTTCTAATTTTTTACAACTTCTTCTGGTGCTTTCTAATTTCTTCCGAGGCTTAAAAAAGGTACTCTATTTTATATACGATAAATATACAATGACATTATGTATTAAAATTATAATATATCTACTCAAATACGGATAAGGAAAAATTCTTTTTTTTATCTAAATTTAGAATTTTCTTACATATTTATTTCGATAATCATTTAATTGAATAACTTTTAATATTTTAATTCTCCCAACATTTTCCAATTCTTTCTAACTTTTTCCACTTTCTTCCAGTTTGTTCCGACTCTTTCCAGATTCTTATGAAAAAATGATATTGGTCCTATGCAAAATTCACATGTTGGACCCTATTTTATTTTTTTAGAGTATCTGTGCTTTAAAATTAGTGCTAAATTTGGTTTTTAATAATCATTTCTATAACAATTTAAATATTAAAATATTTATTTTTATTATATAAAAAAATATCAAAAAATTAGAATAATGAACATTTAACAATATGGGGCTCTAAAAATTTGGGGACTTTGTGCAGGTGAACAACTTGTACACCCTCCAAACTGCCCATGTTTATGTATATACGGAGTATCAAATTAATCTTATTATATTTAATTAATGTTATTTTCTTTTAAAAAAATTGTTATCATATGGAATGTAACAACTAACAAGGGTTCATCTGGTAAAATCTGGGAAAAAAATCAATTCGGTAAATGGTTTTACTAATTACCAAACATGACCCAAAAAATGTTAGACAAAAACAAACTTACGAAAAATTCCCAAAAAAAACATTAGTGCAAAGTCAGAATCTTCATCTTGCATTCCATAATTTATTAATTTTCATTATAAACACTATTATACAATTTTCTATTTTTAAATATGAATAATTAGACAAAAATAAAAAAAACATAAAGAAGTGGGAATTGGGAAATATGAACAGACCTTCAGATCGACATCGTTCGGCTTGATAATAAAAAATTATATAGACTTGATAATATGGATTGGGTATAATTATTTATTGAACTTAACACGATTTCAGTATTTGGTACGTAACGAATACCGATTTCATTCTGCACATACCAAACTAAAAACCGAATTTGGATAGAAATAAGAACCGAATACGAAACCAAATATTTTAGTTCAGTTTTGGTACGTACCGAAATTTTGGTTTCGATTTGGTTCGGTCAGTTTACCGAATTGTGCACACTCCTAAATGTAACCCAAGTAAAATAGGACAATGCTAGGTGTGCTCCAAATTTGATTACGCCTTTTGTACCCTAGTTATTCAGAGACACACAAATTTCCATGTTTGTGTGGTGCATAGACATGAAGAGTTTCATGTCTCTTTGTGCGTGTGATTCGTGTGAATAACTAGGGTACACACGAGGAATCTAATTTGGGGTACACCCAAGTTACTTTGGGGAAATGAGTGCAGCTATTTACAATGATTTTAAACCCGGATCGAATGTCGAACCGACGGGGAAGACGGGTTCCGGGTCAATCCAGGTTTTTTTGGGTCGGTCCAGTTCTTTTCCGGGTTTTAGAGGGGTTGGACCAGACCGGTTGTGTGTCCGGGTCGCAATTCGACCGGTCAGACTACCCAGTACGATCCGGGTTTAATAACATTGGTTATTTATAAAAAAAATTAAGGGTACATCAAACGTGTATCCAAAGCCTCTCCACCAAACAAATATAGTGTTGATAAAAAAAATAATTAGTAGATAATAAATGTATGACTAAAATATATGGTGTACAAATGGGGTACACCTACTTGGTCCTATTGAGAGAAATGTAACGTCTTTTAGGGGCTGTTTGGCAACTTCTGAATCAGTAAGTGCTGAACCAGTAAGAGGTCTGAACCATTAAGTGCTGAACCAGTAAGAGGTCTGAACCATTAAGAGCTAGTATATTGCTTAACTATTCAGAGGCAAATGTCTGATCAATTAAGAGGTGTTAACCATTCAGACTCTGTATAATACTTAACCATTCAGAGGCAAATCTCTTAACCATTCAGACATCTGAACCATTAAGAGGCTGAAACAAACAGTCTGAACCATTAAGTGCTGAACCATTCAGACATCTGAACCATTAAGAGGCTGAAACAAACAGCCCCTTAGTCTTATATGAAATGTTTTTTTTCCTATTTTTAGAGTTGTTAATAATTGGATATTGTACGAATTGAAAAAAAATCTAATTTTAAAATTTCGACTCGTTATCGTTTATTCTTTATGTTTATCATCTTCTTAAATTCAAAACAAATAGTTTCTTTTTAACAAAGTTCTGTTTTTTTAATACAAAATTAAGCTTTTATTTTAATATTTCTTGAGTAAAGCATGTTCAATTGTTGGCACGATTTGAGCATGTGCATGGTATTGTACCGTTTTATTTTAAAATGGAATGATGCCGAATGGTTTTATGGCTCATCTCGCGTCGAGATTGAATCATTTAAATAAGAGCGGTCCGTGATAAGTTACGGTAGTATCGTGAACCATTACGGTGGGCACCCACCCATATTCATCATCAAATGAATAACTATGTATCTCTCAAATGACAGGTGACATTTTGAATCCTAGTGATTCAGTAGAATCAGAAAATATAAATTGACATATAATATATTTTAATATTTTTTTCATCCTTAAAAAAATTTCTCCTTTCTTTTTTGTCCTAAAATATCTTTTTCTTTTCTATTAAAAGTCACTTTTGTCCATATTATCTTTTATCTTACTTATTACATCATTTTTTATTAATATAATATGTCTATTATATCCTACTTTTACCCATCACATCAAGAATAATTTAGAAAAATCAACACAAAAATATCTCTTCTTTTTCTTAAATTACATAAAGGTCAGATGAAGGTAAGGGACGGAGGAAGTATTTAATTTAACTAAAATTAAAAAATCAAATCAATTTGTATTTATTTTCTAGAATGGACAGGACTACAATGTCAAGCTCTCAAATTTCGAATTCCCAGAGTACTTTCCTGAAAATCATGCGAGATATTTCAAGTTCTTCCCCGGTTACGCGCCTCCTGAATACTATTTGGCAGGTAAACCCACCTTCGGTGAAATCATCTTAGATATTTTTAATATTTACTATATGCTCCCTATTAAAATTCTTAAAATATTCTACGTTGAAAATTAATGAAAAAAATAATAATAGTCACTCCGTTCCCAAAAAAATTACATTTGACTTTCTTCAAATCAAATTTTGCAAATTTTGACCATGTTTTGTGAAAAAAAGGAGTACAACTATTTGCTCATAATATAAATGTGGTATAACTTATACGGAGTAAGATTTATTTATGTACTACAATATAGTTATTACTCGGTATTAGTTAAAGTATCACATTGGTGACAGTGAAAATCACATGTGGATATCTTTTTGATCGATCGAGAAGAAGAAAACGTTAATGGAATTATAAGTTGAACTATTTAATCAATTAAATTGAATCTGGTTCGGCCTAAATGTTGGATGCATGACCTCGGAAAAATTCAGGGTGCTTGACGACGGCGAGCTACACGTATGGCTTTGGAGTCGTGTTACTAGAGCTTCTAACGGGCTGAAGGGCAATGGATAGGAGCCGGCCACCCAAGGAACAAATACTCGCACAATGGGCATACCCAATTTTGAAGGATCGCCGAAAGCTTCAACGGATAATTGATCCAAGACTCGAGGGAATGTACTCCGAGGAAGGGTCGCGGGCGGTGGCATTACTTGCACGCGACTGCTTGACCGACCGACCGGAGTCCAGGCCCACGATGAATGTCGTTGTCACTACACTCGAATCTTTGAAGGATTGCAATGAGGCCTCCATAGCGAGGGCCGGGGCGAATGCACAAGGATGTATCATTATGTAATTTTACGTCTCCGTTCTATTGAACTTATTTTTCAGTTTATTACTTATTTTTTAAGGATCAAATCATAAATAAATTAAAATATAATTTAGTGGTTTCAAAATGTAACAGCATCTATCACCAACTCTCTCTTAATCTGATTGGGCTACTTTTGTGTCTTTGATAAGTGGGGTTCTTTCAATGAGTTGGTAGATGCTAACACAAGTATTCTGGTCTCACCAGTTTGTTGACATAATTTCAAAAAGCTTTATTAAATTTTTAGTTTTTTGGAATTAATCTTTTACTATATTATGATTGAGAGGGGTTATTCTGAGGGTAATTGGACTTAGAGGCCATGTCCCACCATCCCGGGGTAAGAGAAGAGGTAAATAAGATTATTATTATTATTGTTGTTGTTTTTGTTGCTGTTGTTATTATTATTATTATTATTATTATTATTATTATTATTATTATTATTATTATTATTATTAGGTCCATCTTGATTTTGTAAATGTTTGCTGGAAATTTTAATCTTTTGCAATGTTGATGTGCCATTTAAATTTCAATCATCTTCAATATAACAAAAAATTACTATTTTCCTTTACTTTGAGTGTGATGGAATAAAACAAAATAAATCTCTAAGCTGTATGCGCTTCTTTAATTAATAAAGTACTCTGTAGCACTTATTCAATCAACGCAATTTTTGACGCTGAACCAGAGGTCTCTTTGGAAACATATCTACTTTCATGTAGAGGTAAGGTCTATATACACACATCTTCTCCGAACCCTACTCTTATAAGATTCAATTAAGTTGTCGTTGTTGATGTGCTATTTAAAATTGTGAATGCACCTGATAAAAATTACTTAGACTTTAGGACCACCAAGTAACTACGGGTATACTAGAGGTCATTCTACTTTTTGGTTTTTGATTCAGTTGTGTGGATGCCTTGATATGGGTATATGATATATGTATGAATAATATTGCACCCAAAGCTTAATACACTCTTTACGATTTTTATATATTAAGGATAATTCTAAGATCTAGCTTTAAATAAATTATACAAATCATAATGTAATTTTAATTTAAGGTTAAGGTCATTGCTATGATACAAAGTTTTTTTGTTTAAAGATGTAGAAATTTGGCAAAAATTGATCAGCTTTTCATTAACCCAAAACCAATATTTATACAAAACACAAGTGGGCTAAGCTATATGGGCCCAATAAGCTAAATACAACATACGCCTATTTACACATATCCATTATCCACTAACACTCCCTTTAAGTTGGCTCATAAATATCATGAATGCCCAACTTGCACAATAAAAAATCAAAAATAGATTTAGACAATGCCTTTGTAAAGATATTTGCAAGCTGATAACGAGTAGGTACATAACGAGTGGAAACCTCATGTCGTTGAACAGATTTACGAAGCGTGTGACAGTCAACATCAATATGCTTCATACGTTCATGAAAGACAAGATTAGCTACGATATATAAAATAGATTGGTTGTCACAATACAACCTAGGAGGATTGAAAATCCAGACTCCAAGGGCCCCCATGTTGGGGGGGAGGGTTTAGAGAGAGTAGAAACCATATATTTTTTGAAGAGGACATCATAGTCATTGTTGTCATTATGACAACAAAATTTGTTGTCAAAAGAAGGGCGTCATGTACTCTTTTTTACTTGGTCCGTCCCTGAGTGTTTGTCCACTTTTGACTTTTGGATTAAAGAAGTGCGTTGGATGGTGTGCAAAAATGAAAGTGGACAAACACTCAGGGACGGAGGGAGTATTTCATTATTTAAGTTTGTAATTTTATTAAAATTGAGTGTCTATTTTTATTTAATGTCTTAATTAATTTAATGTGTTTATTTAAATTAAAGTAGTAAAAGAGATGTTATAAAAGTAATATTTTAAAAAATAAAAAAAGAATAAAGATAAAATAAGGATCCACACCTTTGAATGTGGATGAAATAAGAAAAAATAATGTGACTCTGAGTTGACAGTAAGTATGGTGGGAATGACAGTCATGCACCCTATAAAAAAGATGAGTCCCATCTCCGAGAGCCCTCTCAGACCTGATTGAACGATCACTGAAATAAAGTTAATTAGACTTTAATTGCAAATTAGTAGCAGAAAATATACTCTACACCAATGTTACCAAGTTGCCTCATAGCGCAGTTATCGAAAATTGAACTCAAGTTTATCTCATGTTAGTTCTTATACTACCTTTGTCTCTGAGTATATGTCCATTTTGACTTTTTTTAGCCATCATTTTCAACTTTTGACCTACAATTAAATAAAATACATATTATATATAGTAATGAGATAAATTAATATTTTTAAAATATTTCATATAATAAATATAGAGTATTAAAACTATTTTTGTATTAATATATAATACTCCCTCCGTCCCTAAATAGATTACAATTTTTTTCTCTTTCTTCTCGATAATTTTTGTTTGTTTACGCGATTTCATTAAGTATTTGATAAAATAAAATATTCTTGTCACTTCTTGTTTTGTAGAACTTTTGACGTAGTTTTTTAATATGTAATTTTTATATCTTATTGATATACGAATTTGTAAATAAAATAATTTTAAAAAGTAGGAAATTTTACTCCGTAACCTGCAATTTGTAATCAAATTGGGGACGGAGGGAGTATCATTTTTATTTAATTTAATACTCCCTCCGTCCTAAAACCATCTTCTCGTTTATGTTTATGATGTTTGACCGACTTTATTTTCAATTCAATTTATTTGATTGTAGGTGTAAAATTAAAAAATAAAATTTACATATTTAAAAACTACATTAAAAGTTCTACAAAATGAGAGCTGACAATACTACGGAGTATATTATTTTATTAAATAAGTAGCAAAAATAGGTAAAGAAAGTAATTTAAGTTTGACCGTGTGGATAGTAGTTGGAAAGATAGTTTTAGGAGGGAGGGAGTATCAAAGTTTACTAATTTTGACAAAAGAAATTAAAAGTAGACAAATAGTGTGCCTTTGTAAGTCTTGCACGTGCTCTAGCGAATATCGATAGATCTAACCTACCAATGGATACTTCCCTGGATGGGAAGTAAGCTAAAAACAACTCTACTCGACGGGCGGTGGCTTCTCCGGCAATACCAAAGGCGCCACATTCCACCCAGCGATTCTAAGGGGCTGTTTGGCAACTTCTAAATAGATAAGTGCTGAACCATAAAGAGGTCTGAACCATTAAGTGCTGAACCAGTAAGAGGTCTGAACCATTAAGAGCTAGTATATTGCTTAACTATTCAAAGGCAAATGTCTGATCAATTCAGATAAGAGGTCTTAACCATTCAGACTCTGTATAATACTTAACCATTCAGAGGCAAATCTCTTAACCATTCAGACATCTGAACCATTAAGAGGCTGAAACAACCAGTCTGAACCATTAAGTGCTGAACCATTCAGACATCTGAACCATTAAGAGGCTGAAACAAACAGCTCCTAAGAGGTAATTGATTGTTTGGTAATTGATTTGTTTTTGCATTTAATTTGGGGATTTGATTATGCATTGAATGTGATGGATGTCCAGAAGAAACATGGTAGCTGCACCCCTTAGGGCTTGGGCGGAGAATCTTCATGAAAACATAGTATATGAGCACTTCGGAGGCTTCCGAATGCTCACAAGAAATTTCAAGAGAACCCTAAGGCCACTACTCCATGGAATGTGGACTACTTTTCAAGCTGGGAAGTATCATGGAAATTTGGCAGATTCTGTGTTTCCAGACAATCAGATTGACCCGTTTTCGATGCTTAGGGTTCAAGCTCCTCCCAATGGATACTTTCCTGGTAATTTAACCATTCTTTTTTCTTCTTTTTCATATATATAGTCAGCATAAGTTAGTACATACAAAGTGGATGTGTATAAATGAAACTGAATGTGCAGGTTACTTTGTGCATTGTAAATGTTGTTTGAGATGAAACCTTCAGATTTGGTAAATACTAAAGATGAATTTCTGATTTTTTGTGTGTTCGATTTGGCAAACAAAACAAAATATAAGCTGAAAATGTGTAGTACATAGATAGAGCCATAGAGGGAGCACATTTTTGTGAGAATGAAATTATTTTTCATTATGTATTGTTGGAATTAGATTTGAGAAGAAAGTTTTGGAGGGTAGTATTAGCACTCTAGTTCAATTATGATCGCTAATAAGATGGGAAGATTAAAAATGGTGGAGCTTTTAGATTTCGGAGGGTATGGGTATTATAACCCCTTAGAACGAAGGATAAAGATGCCATGTTGTTTTATAGTGAACCCTACAACTAGTCATTTGATATGCCACTCACAATTACCCTAAGTGAACCATACATACATAATGATACTTGGTGTTTATTTTCTTTTGTAGTTGGAGAGCCACCATTTATGGGAGTTCGCGATGATATTAAAGGGCTTGAGGATGTCATCCGCTATATTTTTGAACCGCATTTCGTGTCCCCAAATGGAATGGCCCCTGTAGTTGGTCACTTTTTGAGACTATGTGAACACATCAGGTCATCTGATTTCAATTCTTTTAAAGACATGAGGTAATTTAATATATTTTTTTTACAAAACGTTAGGGTAAATGGTGTATACTTTATGATTTTGTTTATTATTGGTCTGTAGGAAAGCCATATATCTCTTGTTGGTGAAAAATTTCATCATGTTTAGCTCCACTGATGTCATTGGATTTTTCGATAAAGTTTTGAATCTTAAAAACATGAACACCCATGGGTTTGATGAAAAGTTTGCCGAGCGTTTGAACAAAGGAGAGCTGAAATCTTACCAAGCGAAGCACTGGACAAACCTTGTCCCCGAGCAGCACACTTTCTACAAGTGCATGGTTTCCCAGACAAAGCCCAACATTGTGCGGACCGTGGTCAATGACTGTTGGAAAAGGTTAGAAATGGTAAACAGCGTCACGACTAGTAAATTCCAACCCTGGTATGGTCTGATCGATTTTTATGCACGGGTCTCGAGCCGCATACTTTCTTACGACCGTAATGCAGATGACGATTTTGTCTTGAGAGAATTCTTGAAGCTCTTCCCAGAATTCCCATCCGAATGCTTCTTCCACGTGGTTGTTATACACTCTTTTCAGCCTCCACTTCCAAATGGGTGAGTACTTTTAAGTTAAACAACCTTCTCCCCAACAAACAAACTACACAGGAAAAAACAGAGGACTCGTATAATAATATAAATACTTTGTACATTGCTAGTACACATCATTAACTCCTTGTTTTCTTTTTTCCAGGAAAGATTTCTATTGCTTGATTAATGAAACTCCTAAGATCCTGCAAGAGTGAACTGTGAAGAAGAAGCAAAACTTGAAACCGGGAGACGAGCGCAAGATCTGGTTTGCTGAATTTTATTTTAAAATAGTACACATTTTTTGAGCCAGTTCAAAAATATTGTATCTAATAGTTTCATCATCTATCGTTCATGCAGGGTATAGTTTGGGTGGTCAGTGACCGGACGTGATCTGCGTTTATGAATGTGCTGTAATATATGTGGTATGCTGCTTTATGTGATTATGTTGAGCTAAGTATTGGTAAACTTAACTTATTGTAAGGGGAGTTTGTGAAACTTTGCCAAGTGCATTAGGCTGAGCTATGTTGACTCCTAAAAGTTTGATTATGCATTTGGAACTTGTTTATTTTGCTATCCCCTTGGTATAAATGAGTAGATTGATACTGAATTCTGGTAACCAGTTAGTTTCTTGACATATCCTTTTGGTCCCAAAAAAGAGTGACACTTTAAAAGCTTTAAATTATGCTTTTTGGGAATAACTTTTTAAAGCATTGGTTGTTGTACTCCCTCGGTCTCTAATTTGATTACAAATTGCGAGTTACGAGGTAAAATCTCTCGTCTTTTAAAATCATTTTATTTATAGATTGATGCATTAATAAGAAATTAAAATCATATATAAAAACTACGTCAAAAGTTTAACAAAACGAGAGACTGCAATAATGTTTTATTTTACCAGATACCTAATGAAAATACGCAAATAAACAAGAATTGTCGGGAGGGGAGAGAAAAAAATTGAAATCAAAATTGAGACGGAGGGAGTATATCATAGTGATGTAACATTAGTAGTGATGTAACATTAGTTTTTCATATTCTTGCAACACCTGAACATTGGGTTTTTATTTTATTAAATATTTAAATGATACAGATATTTGTATTTGAATATTGATGTGACTGATCTCGTAACGAATCTAACATGTTTAATCTTGTAAATCAAGTGATGCAAGTTAGGATCTCCCAATAATAGTATTCATTTTTTGTTTTATAAAATCACCTTATTCTTAGTACTTATTTCATATATGCGAATGTATGGTGTTTATCATAATATGTATAAACATTCATTTTCAAATCATTTAATACTTATTTTCGAGCATAGCTCAGTTTAGATTCAATGAGTTTCTGTTACTTGTAACTTAGTACTCATCGTGGGAAACACTGTAATACTAGTTGTATGATATGTATTGCACCTTATTTTAATTGTAGTGTGAGTTTACAAAATCTCTCACAAAAAAAGTTTACGTTGGATGGACTATAGTTTCAAGGGTAGTCCAAGATATTAGAACGTGAGCTACGTATAATATTGTATTTTGCATTAGATTAATAATTGGCTAAAATCTATCATTGTTCCTTTAACTATATGACTTGTGCACAATTGGTTCTTTAAGTTTCAAAAGTCCATGAATAGTCCTTCAATTGTATGAGGTGTGCATGACTGGTCCTTCAAGTTTCAAAATTCTATAAGTAGTCCTTCAAGTACACGTCAGCCCTCCAGATGAGGTCTTTTTGACAGTAAACATTAATACACTATTAGAATTTTGCGTATAAGCTGCGGAAATTTAGAGAGGGATTTTTCTGCCTCTAATTAGCGGAAGAGTAGCGGGAGACTATTCCCCCTCTATTTGAAATTCTCATTATCAGGGAATATTTCCGCCTCTACTGTTGTAGCTAATCTTTATATATTAAATTTGAGAGTTAAACTCCTAGAATTGCGACAAGTGGTGAATCTACATGGCAACATTTTAACAAATCACCCGCCACGTATTAACGATTGAATGACGTGGCAATTTTAATCAAAATATATGTAGATCCAATTTAAGTTGTATACGGGGTAAATGTCTTATGTACAGTGTCGCTAGATTTTTTTGGAAAAATGCTCTGTACCAGAATATGAATAAACATGGAGAAAATACCAAAATAAAAATGCATATTTTTTATCTCCATAATAGGAGCTACCAAACATTAACAGATTCCTTAGTTTAAAATGAAGTTATTAGTCAATTGACAAGAAAAGTCAATTGAGAAGATCAAATCCAAAGACAGAGGAAGTATTATTGAAGAAATTAGAACTTACATGGAATTTTATGTAATAGAGTGAGAACTAAAATTTATTTTTTAGATTAAAAGTTTTATAAAATCAACTTCTAATATAATAAAAGTAATAGTATAAATTTTTAAAATCATTTTCTAAAATAATAGTTATATTTTTTACATAAAATTTAAAAAAATTATCACGTAAAAATAATAACATGTATTTTACATCCAAATTTTTTTCACTTGATATGAATTTATTTTTAAACAGCAAAACAAATATAGTTGCAAGGGTTTTCACAATGAAAAATTACAAAAACATTTTAAAATAATCATAGGTATTTCACTTTTGACTTCATTGAAGTCACAACTACTACTTTCTAAAAAAACACAGAAAAATATTCGCATGGGATACTTACAACAAAACAATAATTAATTGCAAAAAAACGAATCACTTATTTTTCATACGTGAATTTTATCAAAATTCTACATAAATATGAAGTGGGGGATCGAAGACGAGGTCATCCTCATTCGAAATTTACTAGCGTGAACATGAGTAGCTAATAAAGGGATGCAAAATATTAAGTGTCCCTAAATGCACCAGTGGGATAAAATTATAATTATTATAACGGAGACCTAAATTGGAAAAAGGTTAATCCGAAAGGGATGTTTTGAAAAATTACTCTACATTTAAGTGTTGAAAATACCTAAACTTCCTCCACTGAACATCCATTTAACAAACATATACGGAAGACACTGAGTGAAAAAATCTCAACTATAAAATACTACATAGATATAATTAATGCTTAATAACATTGATTTTGGAAAATAACTTATTCAAAAAGACTATTTTGAGATTACTCAAAGAAATTTATAATTTATAAGTAGATGACTAAAAACTTAAGACTATATTTTCTAAGAGAATTATAAGTGTCATGAATATGTACTTTATTTTTAGACAAATATATAATACGTATATTATGAGATTGACTCAATGCATATCTTACATAGAACTTTTGTTTATGGTAAGATGACTAATTATGATATGAAATAAAAGTATTTCCATACAATTTGACTATTTTTAAAATATTGAATATTTAAAATAAACAAATTAGAAAATAGATTTAATAAGACTTTTATACTTTATCTTGGTAAGTTGATTTACTATTTTAATCTAAATAATCTTATATTGTAACTTACGATTTACTCAGTATATACTTATATTGTGTTACAATTCAAAATGTTTATACATAAAATTAAGAATTTTTGAATGAGAGATGACTTACTTCCTACGTTTTCATTTACGCAATCGTACATCGAAACTTCATAGGATGATATTTTATGAGACGACACACATTTATGCAAAAAAGATTGTGACAAAGAAGATCAAGGTGTGGAGGGAAGCGTGAGAAGAATTGTGACAATGAAGATTTAGGATAATAAAAAAAGTAAAAAAAATTGTACAGAAAATCCAAGGTGCAATAGCTAATAAGTTTGAGACTCAGTTATAGGTTACAACCACATCAAAGAAAATACAATTTCCAATTTGTAACTATTTGTATTTTGATAGAGCACTTTATATTTTGACTAGAAAACTATTCCGACAAAATCATAAGAGCACTAATACTTTAATATTTTTTAAAATCAATCTGGAGGAAAAGAATAATTGATTCTTGATATTTTAAAATTAACATTTTCAATCGTAGAGATTTAGTATCACTAATTTAAGATTTTGTTTTTTAATAATGCAAAAAAGAATATAATTTTTTATAACCATTGTGGGCGGGGGGGGGGGGGGGGGGGGG